TAAAAAATGCTAGTGTAGACGGAGAGCGTTTTCAAACAAATACTGCATTTTCAAATTTTAAAATGTGGATTAGATTTAAGTGATTGTTTGATTTATTTAAATAACATAAAATATGCAAATATTTGGTAACACTTTATTTTAAGGTGTCCTTGTTACACGTTACATGTACATACTATTATAATAACAATAACTTATGCATAATTACATGCAAGTAACCCTACGCCAAACCCAAATCCTAACCCTAACCATATAGTAAGTACATGTAGTTAATTAATATTACTCAGTACTTATATGTATAATTACACTGTAACAAGGACACCTTAAAATAAAGTGTAACCAAATATTTACTTAACTAATACATTTTTACTTTATTTATTAAAAGAGTCTACATTACCTGTAGAGAGCTATCCAATAGCTTTTCCGTTCATTTCAATGGCAGTTACTGCCATCTTTACTCATGGACACTGCTGCTTCAAAACAGATGTACTTAGACAGAATTAACTGCAACATTTTAATGGAATCAATGCAGAAAGAGGGTTTTTGCCTAAAAAAATGTATGAAAAAAGGGTAACATGCCAAACTAACTATGCTTAACATTTTCGGGTAAGCATGGTGAACAGGCTAGCTCAGGCTCCCATACATAATGCCTCTCTACGAGAATCTGTCGACTTGTGCTGTTCTTTTTTACGCTATTTTCAGGGTAAGCTTGACGCTTTATGTGGGACATTTGGTGCAGAACTGACCACTTCTACTTGTGAGCTAGCTCGGCCTATTCAAATACTCGATAGCTTCTCGTTGACAAACCCCACCCTAATTAATGAAATAATACTGAAATCCAATTTTTCTTCGTGCCGTGTTGACCCTTCACCAACGTTCCTTTTTAAAACACTGTACCTCTGTTATTTCTGGTCCTATCTCACATCTTGTAAACATGTCTCTTATCTCTGCCACTGTTCCAGTATCACTCAAAACTGCTGCTGTTACTCCTATTCTCAAAAAGCCAACTCTGGACCAAGCTAACTAATTATCGCCCAATTTCCAGCCTACCGTTTGTTTAAAAAAATCATGGAAAAGGTCGTTGCCACTCAGTTGCAGTAATTTCTAGCTCACAATAAACACTTTGATATATTTCAGTCAGGTTTTCGTTCGCAACACAGTACTGAAACTGCTCTAGTAAGGGTTATAAATGACCTCTTTCTTTCTGGTGATTCGGGCAACCTTTCCATACTCTTATTACTCGACCTTAGCTCAGCTTTTGACACTGTCTGTCTTGTCTGATTGGCATCTCAGGAGCTGCGTTAGCCTGGTTTTCCTCCTGTTTGACGGACAGACAATACTTCATCACCATGCATAACTACAAATCTTCCACTGTCCCTCTTAATCAGGGTGTGCCACAGGGCTCAGTTCTAGAGCCATTATTATTTATCATTTATATTATGCCCCACGGACAAATTATTCGCCGCCATGGTTTTCAGTACCACTGCTATGCCGATGATATTCAGATATATGCTTCTTGCCGACCTGACTCTATTCACCAGACCGCTACTTTATTGTCATGTGTCTATGAGTTCAAAACCTGGCTTAGCTCCAACTCTCTCAGCTTGAATTTGACAAAAACAGAAATTTTACTTGTCGGTAAAACAGAAATTTTACTGTAACAAAAAACATAACTAATCCCCCTAGAATTGACCTTGAAGCTACATAAATTTTTCCAACTGCCACCATCAAAAACTTAGATATCACTCTTGACTCCACTAAATCTAGATGCTTATATTAGTAAACTCTCCAAAGCTGCATTTTTTCAGCTTCGGCGTATTGCCAAACTCCGTTCCTTCATGAGCCCAAAAGATGCTAGTATGAATCACTAGTACATGCATTTATCACATCTCGTTTTGACTACTGTAACGCTCTTTTTTCTGGATTACTGTAACGCTCTTTTTTCTGGATTACCAGTACGCTCCATCTCCCATTTGCAATATATTCAAAATTCTGCTGCAAAAATCTTAACGTACACTAAACGGTCTGCTCATATCATTCCTATTTTATTTAACCTCCACTGGCTACCTATGTCCTCTCGTATCACTTATAAAATTCTTCTGCTTACCTTTAAGTCCCTCCACGGTCTTGCACCTACTTATCTCTCTGACCTACTTTCTCCATATATTCCCTCTCGTCTACTTCGATCATCTGGAGGGGAACTCCTTTGTGTTCCGAGATCTCGCCTTTCATGGGAGGGAGAGCGTTCTCTGTTATGGCTCCTAAACTTTGGAACTCATTGCCCCTGTGTCTTCGGTCAATAACCACACTGCACGAATTTAAGTCTCAACTCAAAACCTATCTGTTCAACCAATATTACTGGTCATTATATGTTTCTTCTTAAACTGTTATGGTTTAATGCTGTATCTGACTGATTGCTGTATCTGGCTGTCTGTATTATTACTATGGTTTGCAACTGCGACCTCATGTCCTGGACTTGGCAAATGTCTTGTCCATCTATGTATGTATTGTTTATATTGCTTTTGTCATTGTGAAGCTTCCTTGAGCTTGGGAAAAGCGCTATACAAATTAAACTTATTATTATTATTATTATTATACAACTCAGTGGTGTACAGAAATCAACAACTGCATTGGTCATGAATTCAAATATTGCTTGTTTTAAAATAAACAAATTAAAATAGAACCTCTTTTCCAGTAGACATGTATCTGTGACACCTAATTAGCACCTAAACACCTAAAGGGTAATTTTAAAGATTTTTTGACGTAACAAGAGTGAAATGCCCTCAGATATCAGGAACAGTATGATAAGTCAGATTAATATGGTAGGGCATGTAAAAGATATTGCATTGGAGTTTGCATTGGAGCATTTAAAAAAAAAAAAAATTCAAATCTGGAATCTTAGCCGAGAATATAGGATGATCCATATGTGAAAACCAGTTGGAACATTGCTTCAGAAAAGACACAAAAGCCACATCGTTCAGTACTTTTAGTGTTTATTTCTACAATGTTTCTCCAGAGCAATGTTGATTCATGCAAATATTTCTGGAAAACACACAACACGTAAAAAGGTCTGTTTTTGCTTTTGTCCTTTTAACGAAAGATTTTCACATTCAACTTGTTTATTCACACATTTTGCAGGGTTAAAATGTCTTTCAGCTTCTTCGTGGTTATAGTCTATGAGCGCATCAATATGTTTTGTACTGCCCCATCACTGCTGGCCGGCCATATATGGTCCATATTCTGCACATGAAGAATTAAAAAACTTAAAACCTTTTTTTTTTTTTTTTTTGCACATTGTCCTTTTTGACTCCACTGTAACTTTTAATTGTCACAATTCAAAAAAGTAGCACAGATACCATCTCCTTACATTGGTTTTGTTATATCCATGAAAAATGCCCTTTCAAACATCGTCGACACTTTTATTTTCGCATATTAATAACACAAGATCAAAACAATTCCAACAAATGAACTTCTTTTGCTACCTTTCTTCAAACAAGAGTATGAAATTGAACAAATGTCATAATAAATGTATAAATATTAAATAAAAATATGAAAAAATTTCTCTTTTTTTTTTAAAATTGCGCAAGACTCGTTGTGGAACAGGGTACATTCCACTTTACTGGCATTTTATTAAATCTAAACACAAAGTATACCAGGTTTAGCAGCTGGTAACATTTTTTATATGTAATTAATGATCCAAATAAAAGATCTTATACAGATATACAGCTAAACCTTCATTTTTTGGACCAAAGCAGCACTTTTTTTTTTTTTGCCATAAATGCCCCATTAGTTATGAAACATAAATATGACATTTTCATTTAACAGATCCTTCCTACGCCTCAAGTAACAGATTAGGTGTTAAAGACAACATGAAATGGTGTTTGAAACCATTTCACAAATAATTGTACTACTAATAACCATAATTTGACATTTTAAAACAGGAGAAAAAACGAAGGGGGCGGTAGGCTGAATTGAGCTGAATTTTACACGTGTCTTACATATCAGGATGAAATCAGGTGGTTGGAGGGGAGGGTTTGAAAGTAAGAGGTATTTGTCTGTCATCAAAAAAGTAAATCAGTATAGTGGCAGAATTTTTAGTTAACAATCCTTGATGAAGAAACTCTTTATATTTTGAATAATGTGCACTGGCAAGTGCACAGTAAGACTGGGAATGTGTATTAAGAAAGTAACTAGGGTAAATTCTGATTTCATGTTGACACAGTGAATGGTATACCTGAGAAATCCTTAAACTTCACTCAGTAAGCACATGTACGTCAACAAGATATCTATGAAAGAGAACACTGCAAATCTGAAAAGCATAACATGCTCTTTTAAGCATCAAGTTGTGTCTACAAACATCTGCTCAGAAAGAATGCAAAAAGAGGAAATAATGTAAAGTACATAATGTGGTATTGTACTTACTGAATGAATATATGAACACACAGTGTCTGAATGGTTTTTCCGGTAGTCATCATTGTATTTTGTGGTACACCCACAGCCCTGTGAAGAACTGTTTCTGAATGCAAGATTTTTAGTAATAGGTGACACAGGACCAAGTATTGCGCTCCTAGACGGAGAGGAATTATTCGCTGTATATGGATTGCATCTATATGTCACTTAGTTTTTCAATATACCATTCAAACCTCCTTAACAGTCTTCTGAAATCTTTTCTTGCCAGTTTTGGTTTAATAGTGAGCAAACTGAGATTTGACAGTGCAGATACTCTGCAATTTATAATTGAACATTGTGATGATAAATAAATAACAAAAAGGTCAAGAACAAAATGAATAATACAACAGACTTATAATGTAACCAGTAAGCTTCCAAAGTTATATCTACTGACCACAGGGATACACAAGCACAAAACAATACCAACACAGTTCCTACTGTGCTTCTGAAACCACGTGAAGCTCCACACGAAATGTTTTTGCTGTTTTTTCATTGTTCCAAATCACATTTTTAAAAATCTTTTTTAACTCGTTTTCACAAAAAAATCAACATATTGCTTCATATTTTCACACAAGAGTTTTTTTTCTTTCTTTCTATTCTTCTAAAGTTTCCCATGTAAACTGCTTTCGTTTTGGTCTAATTATATGTGGAAAACGTGGTCGAGACACAATCTGCAGACTTTGGTGAGTGTCTTACAGATTCCCTCAGAGATGCTCGTCATCAGGAAGCGTTTCAAGCTGTCAGCTCTTCTTGGGATGCTGAGCACTTGTGCGTCAGCGACTAACTTTTCCTCTGACGCGTTTGCTTCGCATGGACTTGTGTCCTTATTGTCATCTAGTCATCCCAAGTACATGTGCAAGGTAGGTCAATGCCAGTGACCTGTCTACACGCATATTTCAATAGGTGTTGTGACCAGGATGCGACCATTGTTGCCATTGTTGTCACGGGAGACGCGCTCGTAGCCACCAGTGGAGGAAGCAGGGCTGTTCGAGGACGTAGAGGAGTAGTGCGCTGTCACTGGCTCCATGATGATGCCTCCTTTAGTTAGTAAAGGCGACAAGCTCTGTTGCTTCAAACGGTCCACCAACTCATCTTCTTCAGAGGAAGAAGAGCTAAGCTCAGCCTGACGGCCATTCATCACCGTGCCATTGTTGCGGTTACCGCCTGAGACATGGGTGGTGTTGCCGTTCTCCGTGTCGAGCATCCAGCAGTGGTTGAAGTAGCTGAAGACCTCTTTGACAAAGCATCGGCGGTCCTGCTCGATGGCCAGCAGGCAGCGGAACATGCAGAGCGCCTCGTCAGTGAAACGGCGCCACTGTGAAGGCACCGCACTGGTTCGCCTCTGCCGATGCTGCCAGCGCACAAACTCCTCATAGAAGGCGTCAGTCGGGAGTGCTTTTTCCCAGGGGAAATTCCCAGTGAGCATGCAGAACAGAAGTACACCAAAGGCCCACACATCAGTGCTGTAGTCTACACACAGTCCCTCTTGCCGGCTGGGGTCGCACAGTTCTGGAGCGGTGTACGGGATGGTTCCGCTCACCCGCTTCACTGGAGAGCCAGCGCACCGCGTCATGCCAAAGTCTGACAGTTTCACCTTCCGGCACTCCTTATCAAAGATGAGGACGTTCTCCGGCTTTATGTCACGATGCACCAGCTTCTTGCAGTGCAGGTAATCCAGTGCAATCGCCACCTGGTGCACACACCGCTTGACAACGTTCTCCGGCAGTCCAACCTACACACAGGAGAGCGGAAAGAATACGGAATTAGACGCTACGACGAAATCCACACACCGCTTGACAACGTTCTCCGGCAGTCCAACCTACGCACAGGAGAGCGGAAAGAATACGGAATTAGACGCTACGACGAAATACCATGTGGTTACATAATGTATGCTATCATAATTCTCACAGACGGCCAAATCTGAGGCATAATGAGCCCCCGCAACTGAAAACCTGAACGCCATAAAATGAAGGTAATGAAGCAACAAGTTTGCAGGGAACATAAAGTCCTCGGTTATTTCCGTGTGATGAACACAGTGCACATCCTCAACTGAATACGCTGCTCCTCTCAGGCACTCACTGAACAGAACAGATGCAGTGAGAGGTGTGCCTGCGGTGGGAAAGCAAGACCTCAGGCTCGTGGGACAGTACTGGCGAGTTTCGGAAACCAGATCACTAGAATTGTCTTTTGACTTAAATCAAACACTGTAGCAACTACCTAGCAAACACCCAGGCTCATTGGAAATATGTGCCTCTACCTACGTTTCTGCAAGATTCAAAAAACATATATATATATATATATGAATTGCTGCACTTTCCAGTTGAAATGATCACTCGAGGCAGACAAGTTATGATTTACAGGGCCAGTTTCGATTAGGAAAGCCTAATTTTCGCACAATACTCTGCACAATATTATGCTATCACTTCAAAATATTTTAACATGCTGCAAGATTTGAAAAGTAATACTTTTGAATTGTTAGTGTCACATATGCAACTTCATATGTATGGGTTTGCCCGGTAATTCACGTGATACGGCTTTGCACTTGTGAAGTGAAGCGCTCCGGTATGAATCCCGTGAAACTATGGATCGACAAAACAGCTCAAACCTATGCAGAAGGAAGTTAAAATAGCACGGTTGCATCAGCAAGTGCTTTTTTATATCACGTTCACTTTCGTTAAAGGGGTCATCGGATGCCCATTTTCCACAAGTTGATATGATTCTTTAGGGTCTTAATGAAAAGTCTGT